AGAAGCCAGATAAGCAGAATGGCCATAGAAACGTGACAATGACTCATTTACCGTCAGGGCGAAAAGAGAGAGGTTAAGTTACCGCCAGAAAGAGCAGGAGAGTAATTTAGGTCAGTCTCCCATCCTCTCTCATTCTCTCTCTCTCTCTCTCTCTCTCTCTCTCTCTGTTTTTTTCCATTAACATGTCTACATGTGAAGTCTGTTTTTTCCATCTGCTGTCTGCTGATGCTCCCCTCCGAAACTGCGGGTCCTTATGCTACCTGGCCACGCTGAAATCTGATGTCGGGCCGTCCCCAGTGGGATTAGTTTGACATCATCCTCCCAACAAGAGTTTCATGGAAAGTCTTGTAGTGGAATTCATGCTCCAATATTTCCTTACACATATGGGACTGCAAAGCTCCACTGCTTGACTGTGACTTACCCACTGAAACGTAACACCATGTGTAGATATGTGACATTGATATCTTACCTCCACCTTTTAGTTTGTTCTAAAGTTTTTTGACAACTTTTGCCATGACGTATACCAAGACTCCATCAGCAGATGCAGTTCTATTTGCCACATATAGTGTCCATGTGATTTGTAGTAACAACATCAGACATCAGACCATCGCAAAGAAATGACCAAACCATTTATCTTATTTATATTTTTTGGCTTTCTTTAAAGGTAACCTGGGACTCCATCGGCCAGATCAATTTGTCTTCCCTTCCAGCGATTCTGGTGTATCTGATGATGGTAAAACAGCTGTCATTAACAATAGTAGTCTGATTAATAGATCAGGGTAATTTCCAGGTACTTAAGACTATGTCAGCATTTTATTCACGCGATTAGACATGAAACAACTCAGGTTGTCTGTCTAGAGTGCAGAGCAACCTACTTTAAGCGTTCTTTATCCTTTGATGTGGTCACATGCTGAAAGCATCTAATAAGTTTTAAATTGTAGATGCTGCTGAAAAAAGCAAGCAGTTTTGTGTCTTTTTATCACTGAAGCTTAAAATCTTTAACCTTGTTTTTTTTTCAACATTAGCATAATTTCCTCTGGCTTAAATTATTTCAAGTGATTTGAAAAGATCCTCAAGTTATATATCTGAAACTACCCTTTGTGCCTTATCTTTAGATGACAGGCTGTCTCAGATCTCGTCCAGGTCAGCAGCTTCCTGCTCCATGGCGTCCCAGGTGTTGGACCGTGCCCAGAGGAGGAAAGAGGACTTCTGGGGAAAGAGTTAATAAAAGCCAGTAATCCTGCAGTGTGGACATTAGCAATCACAGCATTGTACTTCTTATACTGTATGCAAGCGTAATTTCAAAGTGAAAATTAATGGAAAAAAAGTTTTTTTTTAAAAAAAATAGAGAATATAGATTTGTAATGTGATTTAGTTTGGTTTTTAGTATATTTTGATACTACCAATGTAGCACAGTCAGGGCCAAACTAATGTGGTAAGGACAATAATTTTAAACAATGTACATAATTCAGGTTTTGTTTTTAATTGTTCTAAATGAAATCATGCAAAATAAAAAAAAATATTTTGTACATTAATCAATGTGTTTTTGTTCATTTGTGATTAAACTCTTACATTTTTATAAAACCGATTGTTCTGTGATATGATCTCTCCCAGACAATGGAGGCATGAGACTAAGGCTGCGGATATGAGGAAAACAATTGTATGATCAGCATATGACTTACAAAATGGCAAACTACACTGATGAACACTTCATATATCTATTTTATTTTAAAAGAGTTTAAAGGTCTGTATGAGGTGAACATTCAGTAATTCAGTTACTTGCCACATCACAGCACCAGGTACCGCTTTACAATAAGGCTACCCTTTAAAAAGTTCATGAATTGTTTAACAATTGTTAATTAATGGTTATTCATTAGGTTATTATCTCCTTAAAAATCATTCATAAGCAGTAATAACACATACATAAAAAGGTCAGCAGTGACCTGGTGCTTGTCAAATATTCCACATTCTTCTATACTATTAAACCTCAGATTTTGCTGGTTACTAATATTACTTTGTCTACTCCATCAGTCAGCATTAAGCATTTTTGTGTTATAACTGCTTATTAATTTTAAGATCAAGTCAAGTCAAGTCAGCTTTATTGTCAGTACTACAATATGTACAGGACATACAGAGTATTGAAATTGCGTTACTCTCAGACCCCATGGTGTAGCGATAACATTAAATAGATGGTAAACAGGAAAAGTGTGAATTTAAATAGACACTAAAAAAACACTAAACACTAATCATACAAATAAATAAATAAACACATTGTAGAAAAATAGAATAATAAAAAAATAATATAAATATCATATGTAAAGTGTTACTCAGCACAATTATGAGCCAGTATGTTTATATAGACTGAAGGTTAGTAGGTCCAGAAAGATTACTGTGGCCATATTCACAAAATAGCAAATAAAACATACACAGATACTGTACTACATCTGGTCACAACCTCAAGTGTAAACTGAATACTATTCAATCCTGTAATTCCAGTTGTACTCATAGGGGCTTCTGGATGGTCAGCTTTGTGAAGGTTGTGCATATTCTTAATAAGAGACCTCACTGTTGTAAACTTATCAAAATGTAATTTAATTACACGCTTTTGCATGATATAGTGAGATAGCCTATTAGCTCCTTGCAAGATGCTTGTTTAGGCTGGCTTTACACGGTGAAACGTTGATGGCAACTAGCTGCCTGCAATATCACTGCTGAGCAACCTGACTGTCTCATGAAGCAATTCAAAAACAAATTTGCATGCAACATATCCAGTTACTCCACACATTAGCCAAATTAGTAGCTTGTATTTTTTTTCATACATGCTACTGTTCTTGATATAAAGTTAATCCAAGGCATAATTTACTTATTTGCAGCATTTTTTCGTCTTACATTTTTGTAACATCATTGTTTGAATGCAAAATGAATCCGAGCTCTATGTAAAACTAGAGGCATCAAGAGAGGAGAAAATTAATTTAGCTAGGTAAATCATGATAACAGCGGGATAGAAGAATTAACGCCGGCACAAGCAGCCCTTTAAACAGCTCTTACCATCAGCAGGCTAGTAAACGCAGCTGGTTACCGAAATGTCAGCTTCGAAAAACTCAGGTTTGTTTTCATGGTGTAGGAAACTGACAAAATGAAAATCTTTGAGTCAGTGCTTCTACTTTTCAACCACCCAACAAACCATGTTCTGTTTTATATTTCTGATCCGAAATGAAATGAATGGTTTGAAAGTATGTCGTTCAATGCGATCATGTAATGCAAAAAAATTCTCTTATTTGTGCTTATATTATGACCTCTCGTTATCCCTTAGAATTAAACAGGCTGCTTCTGTTACCTTCCTTTAAGACTAATATTCATACATGATCTCAGTTCTGATTGGTGGCCATATTTAAAAGGCTTTACATACTGAAACACTCCTTACAACTTCAATGTGAATGGGCAGAGCTAAACTGCTGTATTGGCAGGCCTTGGCTGTTGGCTTTTGTGCCATCACAAAAACAACGAATTCAAGTTTAATTTTCGTATGTGGGAAGTATGGAATTAGGAGTGAAGGGTACACAGAGGCATCTTAAAGTGATCATCCTGGGTGACCAGCATCCAAAATAAAAAACACTGATGCACTCAATAATCTGATCACAATCATATTTCTACAGTTATCTAACTATTCAAATGGTCATGTAAACCGCATGCTTCGATTTCTTAGATCGGAGTAAGGTCTAGAGATCCGATTAAGAAATCCAATAAAGAGAGCTGAATTTTAGCACAGTAATCAGATTTCTCAGTGCATGTAAACTCTTACTCTGATTTCTTTCAGATTTCTCAGTCTGCGCATGTGCGAAAACAGACTGCTGTACTGGAAATAAGCAAACAGCGCTGCCGCAAGATGCAGCAGAACACTTTTGGAGTGACCCTAAAACCAACTACACACTTGACGAAATGAAGGATTTAAATATTCTTCATCTTCTAGATGATGTATGTTCATATTTTCAGGTGAAATGGTCTGATGTTTTAAAAAGCTGCAGCATGAAGTTTGGGTTCATCACGTCTCCATCTGTGAGTTTATTGGCTGGTTGCAAAGCAGAAATCCGATTACTGCCTGACTCATGTAGACCTGGAGTTTTCCCATTATCTGATTACTCAAGTGCATGTAAATGCGTTGATCAGGTAAGTGACAAAATCTGATTTTCTGCAGTTATCAGATTATTAAGTGAATGTAAACGCACTATGCTGGTCACCCAACATGATCACTTTGAGATGCTGCTGTGATGCTGCTAGCATGACAAAGCTCTCAGGCTAACAGGGCGTGAAGGTTAATGTTTGGAATCCAGTTTCTCCAGAAGTTCCTCGAGGTTCTTCCGTGTACACTGTGCATGCGCACACAGGCGTGCACGACTGTTTACAGTGTCTACATTTCCATGTCCAACAAAAAGAAAGGGAGCCTCGGTGACGTCACGATCTGATCTCTGTTTGATTTTCTTCCCAAGTTTTGAAATCGTCCACGCGGCTCTCTTTGGGACGGACAGACGGCGTCTCGTGCGTCTCCTAGCAGCACCACACTGTGGGACTGTTGGAGGAAAAAAGGAAATAAACAGAAAAATCACGCTCTCCGCGCGCTGCGGTGTGTAAACATAATAAAGAGGCCGCATTATAACCAGGTAATAATCAAGCACTCAGTGTCCAGCTCTGAGCGTCATCACTGAAGGGGGATTTTTGCCCCCCCCCCTCCCCCGCTCTAACAATAGTCCAGCGGGGCAATAAGCGCGCGGCGTCCTCAGAGCGGCGCTTTCGCCAATTTCCAAACCCAATAACGTGACTTCCACAGCAATCGCGCTGACCTGATAAACTCAGGTGCAGGAGGTGACATCACACCGCAGTGACGTAGCGAGGGCACATCTGGGCCAGCGGCGCCGACTATAAAGCGCGAGCCGGGAGAGCCAGCCAGCACACCCAAAAAGCACTCTCAGGTTCAGAGTTCGGAGCCAGACTCACTCGAGAAGATGATGAAGAACCTCCTCGCGCTCCTCTCGCTGCTCTCCAGCCTCGCGCTGAGCGCTGCCAGCCCGCGCCCTCTGCGCCACCCCCCGCGCTCCCCCCCGCTGGACAGCTCCGAGACCTGGAACAACCTCTTCACCATGTGCAAGGACGTAAGTACTGCGGGGAGCAGCGTGGACACAGATGCGCTAGAAATGACCAGACTTTAAAATGCCTGTGTTTGCATGCATGTTTATGACTGTCTTCTGGCGCACACAGGCGAGGGCGCGAGACAGAGACCACGAGACGCGGCTGATCCCCAGGATCCCGAGCGAGAATTTGAAAGTGAGTGCTACAGTGTGTGTGTGTGTCTGTGTGTGTGGCTGTGACTGCATGGGTGTATACGGTACTAACTGCATGTGTGTGCTGTCCAGGATGGGAGAATGTGCTGTGGGAACGTCAAGATCCTGGAGTACTACCTGAACCACATCCTTCACCAGGTCACCGGCAACTACTCTCGGATGGACCTGGTCAGGCATGAGCTGCGCAGAGTGGCCAGAGACCTGAAGCCTCACTGCGTGAGTAGCCGCAATGCACAAACCTGTCACCTGTCTGATTCCCTGACCTCTCGTACCAAATGCATGAGCCTTACATGCTTACGCTCTTTTGCTGCAGAGCTCCAACTTGGCTGGCGATGAGCACTTTCAGAGCTTCACGGAGAACCTGCAGCTGGCTGGACAGATGTACAAGGTAGGTATCTTTGAAGTCTATTTTACAGCCTCGTCTCCATCTGTTGCATCAGTAGTGAATGGGTGAGGACCATGCACAGTAATTTCAACTTACAAAAGAGCAGAAAAGCCACTCACATAATGAGTATAGTGGAAGTCAATGGGCAGATGCTGCTGTTTTCTTCAGCTTCTGTCCATGAGCTTCTATTAGAAGTCAGCATGTGTGCTGTTCAGTGAAAAGTGCCAATCACTGTCCATGGTTAGGTTGAAATCACTGTCCGTGGTTGGGTTGAAAACTCTGGAGTAAACATTAAGTGCGAGCACATTCAGTTCTTTACTTTATTTACCTGACTTGCGTATCGTCGCTGTCTAAAAAACAAAAACGAGTATCTCCAAGATGGTAACTTTACAGGAGAAGGCAAAAACAATCTTTATTTTTAATGTCAGTCAATGTAATGAGATTTTTGTCCCAAGTAATTTTGGACCATTTCTATTGGTCAATCCATCATGAAAATTTGAGCTGCTGTGCTTAAAAAATGCAGAAAAATTAAAATTGGAAAAATGGAGATTTGAATTCTTGTTAGATAGCAATGATATTCATTCACATTCCATTTTTTTGACTAATTCTTGATAGTAATTACTGAATAAGCCTGCTGTTTAAACTCAGCCCAAGTCCAGATTTCAACTCCTCACTACATAAAACTTCATATTAGTTTCACTACCAAGTATTTACTGAATACCAAGTCTTAAGATAAATAACTGAATAATAAGCCTGGAGTTTAGGAAATGTGTGATTCTATAGAACTAACCCTGCACTCTTCTTTCAGAGTAACGCTACAGCCCACAACAAGGCAATAGGAGAGACTGATATCCTCTTCCACTACCTCTACGAGACCTGCAAACCCCAGGCCTGAAGCTTCGAAGAGCAGCTGACCGGTCAACATGTGGTGCCTTATTTCTGACCCCAACAAGTGTTTCTGGAACATTGAAAATGTTGTTTTCTTATTTAACATGCAAATTGTTATTTATTAGGGTGATATTTATTTTGTCTATTTATTATATATTATGACTAAATGCTTGAGTTTTTTACAGACAGTACACTCACACAGTGTGTGCTCTGTGCTGTTGCAAGTCATTGTAAGGCCTAACAAGAGGCCACAGACATATGTACCTGGCGTGGAGTGAATGTCTAGAGCCAGGGCACTGGAATGTAAATGCATTATAAAAGCATTTTTAAATCTCTTTTTTACTTAATTATTGAAAATTGTATTCTGTAATATTGCTTTATTTAAAAATGCACTTCTACAAATGTTACTGATGTCATGAATGTTTTATATTTATTTATATGCAGATTGGCACTGATATGTCAGAAATTCAATAAAAGCATTTTAAAGAGATCTAATGTGCTTGTTTTAAGGTGTACGATGACGAAAAAGTGAGTTTAAGGTTTTCACTGTCATGCAGAAACCTTGTATCTCCATTTTTGTCATTTTATTTTACGCTTTACATAATCTGAAAACACTGGCTGCCCTTAACACTGTGTTAAATGAACAGATCAGCAGAAATGGTCCACAATGACTTGAGAAACAATCTATTATATTTATAATATATTATATTTACTTTCATTACAATTTAATAGTGTCTTTTCCTTTTCCTGTAAAGCCACCATTTTGGAGATATGAGGTTTTGTACCAACAGTGACATTTTATATTACATATCTAAACTCATTTCTTTTAATAAAGTGGGCCCCGAGGCTGTGATTATCAATCAATATAAAGTGAAGTGCATTTATATTCACAGTTCATCATTTTATTGCACCTCATTTTATAAACACGATAGGTATAATAGCTTAATTACTTAGTTGGCCATGCAGATGTGGACATTAGTTGCTGGCCATAAAGTTGGTAAAGATCATTAAGATTTAAAAATTGATCATCGGCTACCATCTCTAGGCTGCACACGCTGCAGGAAAACTAAGGATTCAGCAGTTCTCTTTCTATCGTTATCTAAACATGACCTGAAGAAAGCAAGGAACTGTGTAAATGTGTCAAATGCCCAGTTGAACACCATGAATCGCTTCATTAAGGGAGCACAGAGTGCCATTTGGAGCTATTATAACTTATTGTAACTAATAATCATTTAATATAATTATGTTATCCATTATATTATCCATTGTGAGAACGATATTTACATGTTGAGTTAGTGCTGTAGAGATTTATGAGTTTGGAAGGCTGGTGTGTGCTTGAGCTTCAGGAACAAGGAACTGCACCATTTTGTTTACAGTCTGGTTGATCCTATGAAGTGCTCTACATAGGCCTACTATTTATTTACCTACAGCAATGTATTTCCAGGAAATTTCCAGAAGGCAAAAACAGAGTGATCACATTAGAAAAACAAAGGATTCACTTCCTTCAAAGACAAGACTGGCTAAAAAAATATCCTGACCTAAATTACATGGCAAAAAAAAATTGCAAAACAAGTACCAGTATGGCCAAAAGGGTACAGAAGCATGCTCCGCACTTGCTTTAAATCCATCTAAGGAGTGGCACGAACCAAATGTGAAATGACTTCACCTACTTTGACCACAATATCAGCAAACCGATCTCTTTAGACCACGTTCAGCATGGCTGAGGCACTGTACTCTCACTACCTGGGTTAACCTGGGGTTCTAGATGTAACCTTTAGATACCACTTCATAGTAAATATCTCATAGCAGATCCATAAAATGTGTGATTAAGTACTCATAGTGTACAGAGAAAGACAAACATTTGGAGAATGAAAGCTGCTGGAATGTAAGTAAAGCATGACCTCCTACTGGACACCTACAATATAAGCAACATTGTTACTGCAAGATGCAGAACTAACGCCTAAACCACAGCTTCATGATTGTACAGGTGTAGTTACCAAAGTTAAAATAGTCATATTTTTTCTCAAGAAAATGTGATTCACTGTCTGTTCCATTACATATAAAGATGTTATGGCAGAAATGTCTGTTTATAATCATTATAATGTCTTCATGTTAGGAGAGTACTGCATGTTAGGAGCGTTTCTAGCCTTTCTAAAACTGCTTGAGCAGTGAGTTTTGATTTGCTGCAGCTCTTTGTTGTTATTCTTCAGTGTTTTGGTTTACTTGTTGAAGTAACAAGGGAATAGTTTTGGATGTGTCCTTATTCATCATATTCCTGTGAAATCAGCTAATTTTAAGATATTTTTTGTACACATTGCTGTGAGGTTGACATCAAGATGCACAGATTAATGGGACATGACAGCAACTGAGAGTTAAAAAGACAAATGTATTTATGTATATAAATATATATATATATATATATATATATATATATATATATATATATATATATATACTGTAACTAATAGCCGGTGATTTACCGTAATTTTATTGTACATTTGTTATTTTTTACAGTGCAGATGTCATATCAAAATGTTGCTTATGAGTCATTCTTTCTGCAAACTAAGTCTGGTTTTGGTTGAGGTGGTAGTGGAAAAGCAGCATTAGCAAAAGAACTTTAAAGGGTCCGTGTTTTTTTCCCCTTGTGTTCTCTAAAATTTGCGTGCATTTATGTACCAAAACTGTTTGGAATTAATGTTTACTTCACCATTTTCCAATTCAAATTGAACGGGCTGTCATTTGTAAATGTGATCATGGTTCTGACATCACAACAACAATGAATTCAAAATGGGCCATTTTTGCAGTTTACTTTCCATATGTGTTTTATAGGGATTGGGGAGTGAATTTTGTGTTTCGAAACTTTAATAAAGTTTAGATGGCTTTATTTTTTAAATATGTTTTTTTCGTTGTATGGGCAATTTAAGTACTTCCTCTTGCAGATTCAGAATTTCAGACTTTATTCAGAGTGATTTTGTTCCCCTGTGAAATGGTGACCACAGAAACTTCTCAGTAGAGTCATTCTTAGGGTCTCTTCTGCTCATGACTGACCATATGTGGTCATGTACTACATACTGACTGAGATACTATTGCTTTCATAATCATTTTTATTGCTATGAATGATAAATTCTGTGAATTCATTAGTTAAATCATGTTTGGACACTGTGGCCTTTGTGGAGTTTCCATGCTACACAGTTAAGCTTTACTGGTCTTCACAGTGTTGTGAATGGAAGCTTATGCCCTGCATGCTCTTCCAGACATTGATGCTGGCCTGTGAGGCAGCACGGTGCACAGTAGCAGAAGTTGTGTAATTCCCTTTTTACACACAGTGGACAATAGAGCTGCAGCAGTGTGGATTCCACTACAGCTGCCGCCCAATCAGAGAAGGGAAAGACAACACCTCGCTTGACACCTGAGCAAGGTAAACTTCCTGGTCTGTGTGAGAGTAAGAAAGCCCAGGATGATGAAAGGAAAGTTACCGAATTGCGTGTCTGACTGTGGCAGAACAAGAACAGGGAGAGTTTTAAAAAAGCCCACAGCTGAAATAGTAAACTAATTATGTTTGTAATATATTCAGCTATTTTTGGCTTGTGGCCCTGCTGGAAATCAATGCAGTGTTTTTTTTTAAGACTATGATCTTCAAAGGGCAGGGAAAACTCCAGATCGCTGTTTGGAATCATGTTTTCGGCATTTCACCCATTACATCACACTGGGTACAGAAGGAGCACATTATGGCACTAAAAAAAGACTCAATATGATAATAGTTCTTTCCTTGGTTGTGTTTGGGGAAGCCCATAATTTCCCTCTGATGTTCTTCATCACTTCATACAATAAACAAAAAGTGTCTCAGAGAATGTTGGAACATAAGCTTTAATTGCCACAGTTTTGACTGACACCAGTGATATTAATACATCCTTTATGTGTTTCATCATGCAGCTGGTCTAGTCTATTAGAAATATCAGAATGACAGCAGATCTAAAGAGATTTGGGCAAAAACGAATTCCGAATGAATTTTTGATGTGATGTGCTGGAATATACTAAAATTATATGATTTTTTCATATGACCTTTATTTATTTTCATTCGGTTAAAATAGAGTAAATTCAGCATGTAGACGTCATTACCTCAAGACGAAATGCAATTGATTTACTGTCAACATATTTTCAAAGGGGGTTTCTCAGACAACTCCTTTAGTTCATTCTGTTTGTGTAAACTCTTTTTTTGCACAAATGGAAAAAATCTAACATCAAAAGCTTTTGTGGTTTTATGCTTCAAATGTCCCAAAAAAGGTCAATTAAAGAGCTAACTCATGAACAAAATGCACAAATTTCAAATCACAAAATACTCTGCTTGAACTCCTTGAATTCTTCGGCCTTCAAAACCCAGCAGTTGAACTATTCTGCCTTCAAAACCCAGCAAACCCTCTCGGAGCAGTTGTGGACCATGTTCATCGGCCCACCTTAAAGCGGTCGCTGTCGAATACAAACATCCTGACTGTTAGAGCACAGGCTCCTCTCAAACCCCACTGACTCATACTTTCTACGTCTTTGGAAGAAGGTTCTGGTTGGAACCCTGTCGGTAAGTTGTCTATCTGGGTCAGGTGAAGCTCTAAGATCAGTCTGGTGGGTGGGTGACCTGGTTTAGGAAGATGGCAGAAGCTGGATTACACAATCATTTGGCTGAATGTGTTTCAGTAAATGATAGCAATAACATTAGTTTAATGGGCAGGGTGAGCTTGGAGGAGCGCTGTACACATGCAGATGTCCTCATAAAGCTCATTTACCTGTCCCAGAATAAAGGGGTGAATCAGCAGCACATGGCATGTGACACCAAATTTCTTCAGCAGCGCTGTAATCAGCACAATTTTACAGTTACGTATCATCATATCAGCCCATACTTTACACAGTAAAAGAGCTGCAAGGTTTTTACCAAAAACACGTACATTTTCCACACGTAGCACAACATCTTACTATGCTGAAAAAACCTCTTTGTATGTATTTGCAACGGATTAT